ATATATATATTACTTTAAACATTATGTTTAGTAGATAACGTATAGATAACACACGCACACACGAACACACACACACACACACACATATATATATATATATATATATATATATATATATATGAATGATAAATGATGGATTGCAGTGAACGGTACATTTTGTTTTACACTTATGCATGCTAGCAAGGGCTGTTGTGGAGAAAATCAGGTAAGGGAAAGACATATTTAATTTGTCCTTTTTTAAGTGTGATCCTAGCCCAGCCTTGCTGTTGGTGACAAAGCCACACTGACAAATGAAATTTCTTAAAGCAGGATTTTGATTGCATTTCTGTTTCAGAGCTTGGCGAAGCTGATCACGGTGCTTCAGTCTACTGTTTTCAAAATTATTTAACTTAATGAAACATGTCTTACGTCACTCCTTTCGATCCGATGCTTTTATATATATATATATATATATATATATATATATATATATATATATATATGCACGTTTCATTAAAAACGACAGACAAGGTACTACGGTTGAGCTTTTTATTTAATTTTTCTTGTGTTCTGACAAGAGCTTTCTTTTCTGGACAAAGAGTGTGTAAGAACTGTCCTCACCAAACCGGACTCATAAATAATTACATCGGCTACACAACCACATGTTTATCCAGACGTCTTACATTACACCTATCTGATCACAGTTCTATCAGAACACATTTAAACACACACTCAGATTTACCCAGACACTATTAGGAACATACTAGTAGAAAACACAAATATATTAACTGCATCCACTTGCAAAAAAAAGACTAAAAATAATGGAAGCTCTAATAATAAAAAAGAAAAAGCCAACCCTTAACAATATTAACTATGGACAAAGCCACAATGTGCTAACCGTATTCGGAAACTAAAAACATCACTACCACACACTGAACATACACAGAACACACACACTCTACTAAGCTGATAATTGAATCATCCTTGATAATGGCTAAATGTATAGCCGAAAGCGCTCGGAAACACAGAACATTCGGACAGTTCTTACACACTCTTTGTCCAGAAAAGAAAGCTCTTGTCAGAACACAAGAAAAATTAAATAAAAAGCTCAACCGTAGTACCTTGTCTGTCGTTTTTAATGAAACATGCATAAAGGAAGGATTGCTGCCTAAATATACAAATATATATATATATATATATATATATATATATATATATTTTATTACTTTAAACGTTATTTTTAGTAGATATCGTATGTGAATAGAAGTTAAGTTTATTTAAAACAGTATTTTATTTCGGCTACCGGCCTACACATTTGAGAAAACTTAATAAAGAAAATTTGTATGTTAAAAGGCGTATCAACTCCTTATAGATCATTTAATGCCGAAATTTAATTTTCTCAGAGGCTTTGATGCAATAAAAATATGATACATGTTATTCTGCTTTCACAATTGACTACATGGTAGATAATACTCAACTTTTGTGCATATGCATGTTTGTTGGTTGGTTGATTTTGTTTAGCGGCTTATCAACCTTTATGGCTTATTTTATGCCGAAATGTAAATATTTTTTACATTTTAATTTTATATATATATATATATATATATATATATATATATATATATATATATATATATATATATATTCACTAACGCAAAGAAATCAATACTCATTTAGTGACAAACTGTGTCCTTGTGTCTGACAACACTAATTTAAGTAAAGAGGTAACTGTGCAGAAACTCGCTCCGGCCCCTCACATCACCAAAGTATCTGCAGGCAGGAGAGAGGAAGAGAGAGTTCAAAAGGAGGAAAAGAGAGAGAGAGAGAGAATAAAGACAGAGAGAAAGAGAAGAAAGAGGGAGAAATAGAGAGGGTAGCGATTCAGAAAAAGAAAGAGAAATACGGAACTTTTGGAAAGTGTTTTCCACATGTACACATGTTTTCCACGTGCGATGCTATAAATATCGTTGATTCATATTTTCGACAGGCAAGCACCTGTCGGTCTTAAAGTCAATAAAAAAGCCATTCATAAAAAACGTGTTGAAAAAAATGAAGAAGAAGAAGTAAAAGAAAAGCAATCATTTTAAAATGAATGGAGGAGAAAAAAAAGGAGAAAATGTAGCAAATGGCAAAAATATAATAAAATAAAATAAAATAAAAACTCAAAAAGAAAATAAGCTCAAAAGAAAAATGCCAGAATGAGGCTGACCGCGTAAAATCTAAAAACTAAACAAAAAAAAAAAAATGAATAAAAATAGAAAAATAAAGTGACAAACCTGAAAATGAAGCCAGTAAAATTAAGCGATAATTAAAAGAGACAAATTTGTGATAATTGAGAAATAATATTTTTCACAGTTATTTACGTTTTATGCTTCTCATTGGTAAAATCTGAATAAACATGATGGATTTTATTTTTCACTGCAGTAAAGAAGGCGCTAAAATTTAAACACTAATGAATACGAGGAGTTGCTGATAATTTCTCAAAAATCTAACTCAGTTTTATCAGCATCTCCGCTTGGCCAAGCCGAAAACCTTTCAGCAACCCTAAGCGGAATGGTCAAAAGATCTTACAAAACGGTAGAATTCATTCAGAATTGAGTTCATTTAAATATAGGAATGAAACACGCAGCAAATTATCGAAAAAAACTTTAAGACGGACTTCTTCTATATCCATTTTTTTTGCCGTAAATAAATACAAAAATTCTACTTTGCCTATGTGCCATGCCCCTTCAGAACGTCAGAGATCATGGCTCTCCACAACTTCGTCCTTTGTAGTCTTTAGTAAAGTTTGTCTTTTTTCTGTATCTCCTTGTTCTGTTGTCAATCACTTAAACAAGCTCGCTGCTTTCCTCTGTCTTTCTTGCCTTCAATATATCCTGTGAGAGTCAAAATTTCCAAGCCTTCTTTCCTTATGATGTACGATAGAAATTTTTAACTGTCTGATTCTAGATATACATGTGCTTTTTGCTTTCATTTGCTCTAAAACTTCGTCATTGTTCCCGTGTTCAGTCATATATGTGAACTGATATTGTTGTTATGAGTAATCAAGAGTGGTCTCCCTTTGTTTTGTTAATCTACTATTTGAAAGAGAGAGAGAGAGAGCTATTTCTGTTTACTGGGACTCTAAAAGGACACTATACGCGAACCTTGTATCCTCAGTTGAATAAAGATTTCTTAAACCCTATACCTGTGTACTTTTGTCATTACAATTGCATAACAGTTCAGTACTATTTTCTTTGTTTTCAATGAAATTTTCCTGTTTCTTAATAGTTTGCTTAACATTTGGAAGGCATCTTCCGCTACATTTTCAATCTAGTGTTAAAACACTTCTTAGATATTTTACATGTGTTTAATTTTAATATCTGCAATTTGTAATTCGCGATTTGGAATGTTTCTTTTGATTGATAGTTAGTCTTTTCTTCTGTCTTTCCTACTTTTTATAAGAGATCCATTCGAAATTTAGGCTGTTTCTTTTGCTGACAACAATATATTTTTGACATTCGTTGCAGAAATTTCTCAAAGTATAACTTTGATAATTGATTTTTTTTTCACTCTTTTGTCAAGTTCATTACATGTTAATTCTGGGGGTGGCTTCAATCTTTTGAACTGTAGTATTCATAGTTGAGACCAGAATGATATTGAAGAAGTAAAGTCAACATCCTCTACCAAGTGTTCCAAGAAATAAAACTCAAGATAAATATTTCCAAATCAGAAATTACCATCTGGAATTGGAATGAAAGCAGTGATAGTACCTACCCTGAATCCATCATGAAAATTCAGAATATGTAATTACTAAATACTAAACCCTTTAGATACCTCGGCATATGGATCAGTTATAGCAAATTTAGAATAGGTGAAAATAAAACTGAACATAGAATACGCTACGCTTATTCTATGACATAGTTTTGCCCAATACCACTAATTGCTGCAAAACCAAAATATTCACATGAAAAAGAGCTGGGTACTGACTATTTAAGCATTCCATACCACATCCAAAATAAATTCAAGGCTGTTGTAAAAGGAACATTTTATAAATTTAATCCGAAAGTAGCATTTTTTGCTTCGTCAATAAATACTAAAGGTTTCCTTATAAGGAAATGATAATTACATTATTCATATTACTCTTTTATTATATTTATATTTTATTATTATATTTATATTATTTTCTAATTATATTATTTTATATTATTATTTTATATTATTTATTTATATTATTATTACATTATTATATTTTATTATATTATATTTATATTTTTATCATAGTTATATTTTATTATTATATTATATTATTATTTTAATATATTATTTTATAATATTATATTATTATATTTTATTATATTTATATTTTATTATATTTATATTTTATCATATTTATATTTTATTATTGTATTATATTATTATCTTATAATATTATTATATTTTATTATATTTATATTTTATTATATTTATATTTTATTATATTTATATCTTATTATTATATTATATTATTATTTTAATATATTATTTTATAATATTATTACATTATTATATTTTATTATATTTATATTTTATCATATTTATATTTTATTATATTTATGTTTTATTATATTTATATAGTATACAATAAACTGCTTAATGGATTATTAGTTTTCATCTGACGTGTTTGAAATTTTTAAAAAAATATTTGTCATTGTTAATAAAACATGGAAGGTGGCGTTAAAATCATCAGTTATGATTTGGGGTTAGCAGGCAAAATAAGGTTGCGTAATCCTGTACTAGATGTAACAAAAAGGGATTTAAAATAAATCATTTGTTTTAATTTATGTATAAAAATATCTTTATCTAGATTTTTAAAAAAATAATCATACTTTACCAAAGAACTGTATAGCGTATTCTGAATCTCTGGAATAGCACATAGATGTAGTTAGATGGACTAACGTAGATTCCGAAGATGCCAGTGTCAAAATTCCAATAGTATACACACGTACTCAAAGAGGAGTGACTTTAAAGTGGAGGACGCGATCTCCACTCCTGCCGTGGCTTACGACCACATCTTACGCTGAAACATCGGTTCCCATACGATCAATGAAGTTAAGCATCGTCGAGCCTGGTCAGTATCTAGATGAATAATCGCTTCGGAGTATCTCGTTCTGTAAGCTTTGATGTATGGGTGGTGCAATGGATAATGGCTTGAATTGTTAATTGCAGAGCCGAGTTCCAGTCCCCGTTAAATTCTCATATTCGCTTATATGTAAATATTCTCGGGAAAGGTATGAATCCACTTCTTCTCTCTCCAGCTATGGGTTAATTAGTAAGACATTGTTATCTTAAAAAATTAAAAAAAAAAAAAGAAAAAAGAAAGAAAGAAAATTCTTACAAACTAAAAAAAATATTTTCTATTTAAAAATATTTTCTTTTTAGATTATTTAAAAATAATCTAAAAAGATTGATAACGGAGCAATCAAAGACACCCCTTCAAATTCCAAAATCAAATAAACTTGTCCCTTGTTAAAAGAGGGAAAATATTATGGCTGTCTGTTTAGTTCCGAGTACACTCGTTCTGTTAGGGTGGGGAATAAATCCTTGTTGTAGATGCCTGCTCAGTGTTTATTACAGAACCAGTCTATACTGCAACTATGCTGAGCGGATCTTGGTTAAAGTTTCTTGGAGAGCGCATATAAACTGCTGGGATCAACAATTTAAACAAGTCTAATACGCTGAAAGCCTCTGTCAAGATGACTTGTGACTTCGTGCTAGCACAACCATCTTGGTATGGTTTTCAGGCAGTTTTCAGTAGTGCTGTACGCTGGGATTATCTCTTCAAGACAATATTATCTCAAATTGACCATGGTGAAATACGAATCCGGGTCTCACGGTTGGAATGTTAACATTCGAACGACTCAATTCAATTCGTGATAATATACAAGCAAATAAACAATTTAGCGAATAATTTGACTAAATAATACCGTTGAATATCGCACGTTGGTAACATGTACCATGTAAAAAACATTTTTTGTACTTTATTTTGTACATGTAAATATGTTTTGTATTTAATTTAAGATTTTTAACTTTGAAGGTGATAAGAGAAATAAGAAATCGTTTTTTTTAACATTTAAAAATGACATTGCGTAAATTGTTTGGGTTAGGAGATTAATTTTACACGGTAACATTAGCCGTTTCCCTACAAGGAAACATTTGTTATTCATTGACCAAGCAGCCAATATTGCTTTCGGTTGAGATTCTAAAATCTTTCTCTCCAAAGAATTTTTTCAAGAAATAGGTATCGCTCTTTCCAGAACACACTACGCTTTCTTGGCCCCACATTTTCAACTGACTTGAAGTGGAGCGATTGCATTGAATCAATAGCTGCATCTACTGCAAGAAAAGTTGGGTCACTGTGTCGTACCAGGAAGTTTTTTTCTCGTCAGATTCCATCTTGGACATTTACAAATTTACCATTCGTCTGTGAATTGAATATTGTTGTCGTATCTGAGCTGGTGATCCTGCTATTCATTTCGAGGTTCTTGATAAAATCCAAAGAAGGATCTGCAATGTAATCGATCCTGACATGACATATTGACTTCAGTCTCTTTCTCATTGACGTGACGTGGCCTCCCTCTGTCTTTTCCACAAATATTTTCATGGTAACTTCTCTGATGAGCATTTTTTTTCGTTAACATGACTATGTGAATTTAAGTTCGCTACTAGATTAGGTCTCACACTTTTACTGTTGAAATAGTTAAATGTAACCGCCACTACTACTCCAACAGTTTCTTTCCTCGCCTGTGGAACTCCCTTCCGTGTACTTGCTTCTCTGAAAACTACAATCTTCAAAACTTTAAATTCAACATCAATCGCCATCTTCTATGTTCTTGAATCAGTTCATCTTTATCCTTTCCTCGGCCCCACCAGTCTTTTCTCTCACCTTCACTCTCTGTAACCCCCTGCGTACTAGGGGCATTCCCGCCTTGCTTGAGGTGAAATGATTAAAAAAAGTATTGGTGGGTGTTTCCTTCCTAAATTTTTATTTGAATTGGTGTGGAATGTCAACATCTTGATTATGTCATTATTTTCTCTTTAAGTTACATGTGATATCCATTTTAGTCGTTGCTGCTTTTGGGAGTCCTCAAGTGATGTGATTTCTGTCATTTGGTACAATTCTTTGTTTGCGATTCTTTAGTGCCATTTCACAGTGTCCAAAGAAGTTTGATGTTTGCCGAGACCCCCAGACTTTACTCATTCATATCCTTTTTTCACCTTTGACCTTAGGAAACGTTTGTTGACAGATAGTTTAACCATTATTTGATATAACATACTAATCTTTAGAAATATGTAACTGAATCATTTAACTCAACCAGTTATGTGCCATGCGTGATACACGCGTAGGCAGTCATATATCTTTCAATAAAGGACTGACGAGGCAGATTTTTTCCCGCAGTAGGTTGCCATTTCTTTCTGTGGTAGACCAGTTGCTACCCAAGGCTAGAGAACCCGATCTGTCCTGCTATTTATCCATAGCTAGGAGAAGAGGATTCATTCCTTTCCCCAAAAAAGGTATTAGCACGTAAGTGAATGTAATGGATTCGACTGGAATTTGAACTCGGCTCTCCGATTCATCAGTTCGAGCCGCTATCCATTACTCCACCGTGCTTCCATTAATCATCTAACTATTGGACTTATTATAGCGTAATGTATTGATTTTCTAAGAGAGGCTTAGATGTGGCATATGGCCGAAAGTATGGGGCACCCAGTGAGGATAGAACTCACTATTCAGTTGTAACAGTTTTAGCAAGACCAGCTTGCTAACCATTACACCACGCCGAGGTGCCCAAATAGCGTAATGTAGGTGGAGTACATGGGGACGGTAAACCCGGGTGGAAAATTCTAAGAATTTGCTCGGGCGCGATATTAAAAGAAAAGTAGTAATAATAAATAAAATGTAGCGCTCTCTCCCACTTCGCGCTGTAAATGCATCTGGTGAGCAAATTAACCCAATTCCGGGGACTTCATTAAGTATGAAAGTTACAGGTGGAAACTGGGAAGTAGAAGACTGGATCAAAGGCCACGCCGGTGTTATGTGGGCGAAATTTGAACTTCGCTGGTGCTAAGTGGAAAAAAGCTGAACATGCCGACGGCTGCCGGCTCTTAATTAAACCTGATTTTGAAATAAGTTATATCAATTTTTTTTATAAACTAGTAGTTCAATAACTTGGCTATCTGTTGTGGTAGGATCCACCTAATTTGCATAGTGGAGTACCGACCATATAAATATGGTTGGTACCGGGAAGAGAGGGAGGAATCAAGAGATTCAACCAGAGACTCTGCCCGACTGCGACTCAGTCAACACATTCTCCAGGAACGGGTTACCAGGAATATACAAAAGACTATATGTAAATATTGTGTACACTTTCTTGTTTCAATACATTTTGTTCTAAGTACCTTTTGTGTTGCATTATTATTCCATGCATTAGTCAAGTTTCAACAATGGCGACGAGGATGAGATGCTCTCGATGTTCGTCGACGGTTTCGCTCCTTACTATGATGTCGTCTAAGTAGGTGCACGCAAAGTCTAAATCATTCAACACTATCTTCTTAAAATACAATATTTATGCTTGTTGGTGGTGAGGGTCAATTTTATGTCTATGTTCAGTGTCCCTTTGAAACCTTTGCGATCATGGCTCTCCACTATTTCCTGCCATTTGTAACTCTTAATAACCTTTGTTTTTAAATTGCCATCTCTCTCAAAACCTGCTTCGCCATCCATTCGTCCATTCGTTCAAGGTCACCAGGTAGGTTAGGCGTTACTTTCCTCTTCCCATCTTACCTTCAATCTGTCCTCTGGACAAATTTTCTGTGGGGTTCAATACAGGTTTTTTTCAAGGGGTACTAATGCTTGCGTTTCTCCCGACATTGGCAACCCACGCTAGTAAGTGGGCATTATACAGGCTGGTCCGAAAGTCTTGTTACCCCTGCCTCTCTTCCAAACTATAAAAGCTCGTGTCAGCCATCTGAAATAAAAAAAAAATAGATTATGTAGGGCTGACAAGACTTTCGGACCACACTGAAATTGATATTAACCAAGTTTTCCTTTGTACAGGATGTAACTGTCGGTCATCCATTGAATATTCACCCAAGAGCCACTCAAGGTAGAGAGCTACTGTGTGGAGCTATATTCACATCGAAAAGGTCAAGCGTTAGCAGCATAGAGCTGAAGTAGACTTTAGAAGGAAACGGAAACGCAATCCTAAACCGGAAATAGAGGATAAATTTTTACTTCTGTTTAAAAGACGAGGGTATGGTGTGAACCGGACGTAGGCGAACCTGTCAACACGTTTTGGCGGAAGAGAGAAAAAAAATAAAATTAAATAAATAACTACTGAATAAAATGTCAGAGTTTAGAAGCAGACGTTAGGAGTACAGAGTTAAAGCAGACTTTAGAAGGAACCGGAAACTCAATCCTAAACGGGAAACAAGGGATAAACCTCTACTGCTGTTCGAAAGACCGGAAAGGTGTGTGAACAACTTATCTACTCCTATTAAAAATATTTTAAAACATAAATACAAGTTTCTTGATTGATCTACTGCTAGGCTTCCGAATTTATTTAAATTTAAAATTTTTTGTGTACTTCTTTAAAAAGTCGGGGTTACAGTAAATGACTATTGATTTGCGAGCGATTTAGTTTTAGTTGCTAACTATTGTTCCACGGCAACCCGTTCTTTAATTTAATAAGCGATTGTTTGAAAGTCGCTTCTTATGGGAACCAGGTGGGGATGTAATTCACTTCAGTCGTAAGAGTCTGCGACGTTAACGAACTCTTGCTCCGCGGTAAGGTTCCCTGGATTACTGACAAAGTTTCGAAGACACAAGTATAGAGCAACGTTATATTGATCGAAATCGCTAAGGTAAATATGGCTTGCAGGACTAGCTTGATAATCTCGAAGACCATTGCCATTTTGATCCTCATTGGGCATTCCATTAATATGACTCCACATTGTGGGTGGGATAATTGCCTGGCTGGCGTTAATGATTGCTGTAAAATCTAATATTTATAATGTTAGTTTTCAAAATAGGCAAGTATTCATCATTTACGGGATTGGCGTAACACAGTTTTTTTTATGTTCACACGCCAAATATGTGTTGCATTGTATATCTAGAT